ACTAGGGGATGTAATCCCATGTGACAACATCATACATGCGGTCTGCCATGGGCTGAAATGCCATTACTGGGAATCATTTCTATTCTTGCCAGAGAAACTTGGGATAGTTCATTCTAGGATCTCAATATAAGTAACAGGCCCACTTCAGGGGCTCCTGCCTACCTACACTTATGTGGGACCCCCGGAGGGACAGACCTCTTGAGAGTTCTGTTAGTCATTATTATGTGGCAGTGATTGCATATTCATATTTCCTGAACAACTGAAGAGTGCGCTTCTGAAAAATAATGATATAAAGAAAGAAAGAAGACAGAGGAGCCAGGACAGGTGGACCAAAAGAAAACAGGTAAACAGGTGGTGACTAGGCCCAGAAATAACTCAATCCAGAATGGATCAGAGGCTGTAGAAAGTGAATCCAGTGATTTAAAAAAAAAAACAAAAAAAACACAGCTGGTGGCTTTGAGGGGTTTGGATATTTGTGTCTAGTAGTGTTCTGCAGATTTTTAGAACTCTCTTCTCCAAGCAATAGAAGAGGCAATTTCTTCCTTGTTTGCCTGAGATCAAAGAAACCTTCCCGAGTGGCAACCTGCACAGGCTTTTCCTTGAAGGACAGGGAGTGGGGCCTGGAGATTGGCTTGGCACGATCAGGACTTGCTAAGTCATGTAGTAAAGGGGTGAATACAGGAGCAAAATCAGAGCTCATCCAGCACAGAGGAAAAGGAAATGGCTGATGGGAAGCAGCTAGCCATGTCTGCCTCGAGTGGCATTTATTAACCTTAGGGGGGATTTATTTTTCAGTTGCATGAGTAAAGAACTGAATCAACGTAGCACACTAATGGGATCATCAGCAAATTTCAAGTACTAGCTATATATGTAAACAGTTACTGCTGACATGTAAATTTTGAAATTCTAGGGGAAGGAAAGGGGAGGAGGGTTATGGAGTGAAGAGCTGAATTCTCCACTGCTGTGATGAGGAACCACCTGCAAATGTCCAAAATGATGTCTAAAAAACCATAAATACCAACAGAGCACATTCTTAGAATGGTGAAACTAGATATTGGGAAAAGTAGCAAAATGATTTGAAATCTGTGGCCGCTGAGGAGTGGACTTAAAATGGGAAGGGAAGAGCAAAGGATGGCAGTTTCTAGTTATGAGCCTTTGATCATCGAATTAAAAGTTAAAAATGTAAAACCACTGTTTTCTTATGGGATAGTTAGAGGAAAACTTCAAAGTGGGACGATTTAGATGATTCTGAGGAAGGACTGAAACTACGAACTGATTAAAAAGATTGACTCTGCAAGTTGGCAGTTTAAATTGAAATTTAAGATTTATCTGGGGAGATCATTATATGGGTTGCCTGGAGATGCCACCGGTTAGATGTTCTTGTTGAAATGACAGGATATCTAGATTGGAAATAAAAATTAGTAGGAGGGGCTGGTTTATTTGGAGCAAAGCAAGCCCAGGGTTTCCCTGTGGCCAAATAGGCAAATGGAGATGCCAATTCCTCTGTTCCTGAGTGCAAAAGAAGGAATTTGAAGAAATTCTGAGCTGGGTGAATGAAAATGAAACCACAGTGTCAGAAGGGAGCCATGTGCTTTGACACCTCTGAAGCAAATTTTAAGATTTTCCAACTGCCTGTGGAACAGCATGTGAATTATCCAGCGTGTGCTATCTGGTAGCATGCTCTCCCCCTGTTTTGTCTTAAAGAATTAAAAACTGTCTGCCTATCATTAGGCCTCTCAGAAAGCCTTCATCAGGGAAAAAAAAAAAAAAAGCACAATGACAGGCAAGGGGATCTGCTAGATTAAGGTAAAGAGAAGTTGGCACCCTCTGTCCTCCTCTGGCTAAGTGTTAACTCACTAATCTCATCCTGTCTCCTTGTCAGCCGTTTAACACAACTAAAAATAGTGGCTTGTAGCTTTGTTGTGAGGACTAGAAGAAAGCACATCTAACACACCCATCACCTACCTGGTGGGTATTACATAAGATGTAGTATTATGCCACTGCACTAAAAAATATGTGCAGACTCACTGCTTCATGGCTGACTGGGCCTCAGAAGGGAGTACACTCACAGAATGAGAATGAGTTTTGCTGCTGCTTGCTTTTGCTGGTTCTCAATTCTTCTGGTAGAAGAGTTTGCATTTCTCTTTTGCAGTAGCTTGGAGCATCTTCCTCTGGTACCTTGCCTTTTCTTCTGCTCATGTTCAGCCCAGCCCTGGAGATGACCTGTGTCCACCTGCCCTCTTGTTATGTCATACCCTTCTCTCCATCCTACAACTTATAGAGCCCCTCAATGCAGGATACGTTTTTCATCTCTGTTTGGAGACTGGCTCTTTACATAGTAAAGGACTGGGGAGTGTCTTTTAGGCAGAGTTTCATATTTAAAGGAATTGGATGCAATTAGAAAAAAAAATGTTACTATGAACCATCTGCCAGGACATAAAAATAGTTTTGTTTTGAAAAAGCTAATGAGATAATACTATTCCTCTTCCATTTTATCTCCATGGTGTGTGTTCCTGGAGAGCAGATTCTGTACTTAACAGTCCCCCAGTACAAACTTGGATGAATGCAATGCAGCACGTTAACAGTACTAGGTTCATTTTATTAAGAAAGAGCAGACTTTCAAGATATTGGTATCATGACTAGAGAAGAGTAACACATAGACACTATCATGCTTGATTCACACTGGCCAAAGTCAACCCAGAGTTCCTCAGCTGGATGCGGCCCAGGCCACTGGCTACCCTTTCTCTGCCTGTGCCTCCCCGACAGCATTATCCTTTCTCATCTTCACTGCACGTGGTTATTTATGTTTTGCCTCCTTCATTCCCTCCCTGTCCTACTTTATTTGCAGAACTGGACATCCCTTTAGGGTAGGATCCTTGACTTTTAGGATCTATAGATCCCTGCTGGCCCAAGAATGTTCACCTAAAAGACATTCAGCAAATTTTGCTGATACAACCTGTCATTTCTGATTTGGGAAAGACATGCCTGTGAACTCCAGCCCTACTCTGTCTGCTGGCTGGCATTGACTCTCCAAAGAGGTCCCATGCCCCCTTCAACTCCATGGAGGCCTCTGCAAGAGCCCTTGACCAGAACACTGAGCTCCAATCACCTCTAGAAACTCTGCTGCCAAAAGAAGGTTAATCCATTTGCTATTTATTGACTCAGTACTGACTGGGTACTAACTGCCAAAAGTGACCTATGTACTAGGAACAAAGAGGACTAGGACAGGAATCTTCCCTATAGACAAGCCCTGTGGTCTGGAAGCCCATGTGGATCCCCAGGGCCTGATCACCTGCACCATGGAGCAGATGACAAGGAGGTCCCTCTTGTAGTCCCTCTTGTCCTCCTTTGTTTCAAAGAACCTGCTCAACAGAAACTGGATGCTCACATTTCTCTGAACGCCTATGCATCTTATTTATTCCTTTTTATTCTTTTCTCATGATCCTTATTTTTTTATAATGGATACAACTATTTTCTATATCCTTGTCTTCTCTTCTAGACTTTCGGCTCCTAGAGACCAGAATTTCAGCCCTGTTCACCACTGTATCTGTCATAATACCCAGCAAAGTGTCTCATTCACTTCATATTTGTTAAAAGACAAACTACTACTGTTTAAGAGGTACACAAAACTAAAACATATCACTTCCTGGCAAACTCTTATCATTTCCTGGCAAGCTATGCTGAAGTATTATATTAGGCACTTCTGACGATACAATCAGATATTCTGTTTGGAAATTACAAAGTGCTCCTTTGTATTACATAACAGATTTATATTTTCTTCTCATGTTTGCCTACTTTGTTGTCAAGGTAATAAATGCCAACCTTCAAGGATCTATTTTGAAACATTCACTTAAAGATTAATGAAAATATTTGTCTCTTACACAAATAAGCATTTACCTAAGCAAAACTTACTTGTTGGGAGAATTTTGAATACTATTCAGAGAATGCTACAGAGTCAAATGCGAAATAGGTGGAGTAAGTTATGACCAGCATTTTAAGAAATAAGAAAATAATGGAAAATATTAGTTGCTCACATTTCTATGGGTAAGAATTGTTTCCTGAAGTCTTTTTCAGTTAAATATCTGTATGTTCATGTGTGTGTACACGGACATACATTGTGTGTGTGCACATATATTCTTTTTTGAGCTACAGACAAAAATGTTAGAGCAACAAGCTGTGGGGATATTTCTGGCTGCTGGGAACCAAACCAAGTTCTTACTTTCAGGCAATTCTCAATGCTGTCAGTCTCAGCAGATGTAAGGGACCTCTATTACATTAAAGAAGCAAAATGAGGTTGCTCCTCATCCTTGTTCCCCCTTAAGGAAACCAGCCAGGCGGAGTCAAATGCCTGCTCTCACGTAGGATTTTGAATCTCAAGCATATGACCCAGAGACCATGGTGATGGTGAGAGTGGATTCAGATGCTCTGATGAGTGGCAGCTGTAGTAACTGCAGCCACCAATGGCAGCCTGCCCGGCTGTGGGGGTTAAACCAGGGCAGAGCAGTGGTCAGTAGAGCATCTGGCCTCACCTGTCCTGCTGCCCCTGCTCAGGGCTCCCTGGCTCTTTCCCATCACCCAGGGAAAATACTCTCCCGATCAGAGTTACTAGACAGGGTTTCTCTTGCTCACAAACATGAATCTTAAATGATAAAAATGTCACGCTTGGGAATTAGGCGCCTATTCTGTAGGATATGGGAAAATGATACGTGGCTTTCAACAAGAAGGATGCCATCTGGTGAGGCAGTGCCACATCATCTGGATTAAGGATCAGAGTCCGCAGAGGACGAATAAACTAGTGGCCTAGACCAGGCTAAAGAGGAAGACCTGAACTAGGAGAGAAAGTGTTGAAGAGAAATCCCGTTAACACCTTCTGCATGGACGACTTCAAAGGCACAGAGCAGAGGAAAGGCAATTCAAACGTGTAAGTGGAAAGATGAGTGAAGACACAGTTAAGGGCACGGGCTCCAGAGCCAGCCTCCCTAGCTGGAATCTAGACTTACCAGCCGGATGAACTTGTGTTTGTTACTTGATCTCTCTGTGCCTCAGTTCTGCCATCTGTAAAATGGGAACAATAACAGTACTTCACTCACAAAATTGTTTTTATGAGGTTTAAAATCAGTTAATATATGCATAGGTCTTAGAAAATAACGAGGCAGGATGTAGCTTCTTGTTAAAGAGACTTAAAAATCACCCCATATGCTACAGCAAACTTGTTGCTTCAGGTCTCACTTGGGTAGTGAACTTCCAGTATGTTGCTCCTGCATAACTTTAACTCTATTTTAGTTATTTATAGTTCTATAGATAAAGGTTTTTGCAATAGGACCTGTGCATTAGAGTTTGCCATTAGGAAAAAACATTAGAATTTACCCATCAAATATCTCACATTAAGATTTGTGAATTTATTCACTGCTAAAATTCAATGATGCTTTATTATTACGTAGTATCACTGAGGAACTAAATGTTCCACCTAAATTAATTTTCTAGACAACTGAAGCATATCTAAGGCAATGCACTCAAAATTTGAATTATGCTAAGAGATAGCTTGAAAAGTATATTGTATAATTTCCTACTTTCTGAACGATTGCATCAGTCAATAGTCATGTAATTTTTTCATGTTGACCACTTTGGACTCATGCTACAATAAGAGTGATGGTCTTAGGAATTAACTACTGTAGTTTAAAGATATGTTTGCCCTTAAACTATCAACTCAAATACAATTTAATTATAGTCCTTGTACCTTTCTTTAACTTTCCCTGAATCTTTGTTATTACTTAAGTATTACATCTTGCATCTTTTACTTTCTGCTTCAGATGATAACTTTTTGTTTTGTTATATTAATGTGATATCATATTTATTAATATGAAATCACTTGCAATACATATCAAAATTCTGTATGAAGCAAAAAGTATGTAGTAGATAGAATTATATAGCATATCAGTTACAGTATGGACAAGATTCACCCGCCAAAAGCAGGAAACTTGTGCTATACTGTATGGGGAATTCACTTAGCTAAAAGCTATTTTCAGATTTTTACTGTTAAGATAGCTGAGGCTGCCAAAACAGCACTGTTATTTTGACTAGTAATAAGTGACAGTGGAAGTGAAGGAATTAAAGAGTTCCCACAACTCCAGACGTATATAATATAGCCTGGTTGACATCTCTACTGTATTAGTTTCATAGTGCTGCTTTAACAAATTATCACAACTTAATGACTTAAGACAACACAAATTTTTTATCCTCAGGTTTTAGAGGTCAGAAGTTTGAAATGAGCTTTATCAGACTAAAATGAAGGTCCTAGCATGATTTTGACAAGAGGCAATTCAAAGTCTCCTCCAGTCTTCTGAAGACTTCAGGAGAGAATCTATTTCCATGCTTTATAAAGCCAGGGTTAGAAAAATGGATTTCACAAGATATACAGAGGTTGCCTGCATTGCTTACTTAGCTTGTGGCCTCATGCTAGAACTTCAAAGCCTATCACTCCAACTTCTGTTTCAATCATCAGGTTTCCTTCTGTGACTTTGACATTTCCACTGCCTTCTTGTAAGGACCCCTGTGACTTTATTGGATCCACATGGACAATCCAGGAAAATGTCCTATCTCAACATCCTTAACTTCATCACATCTGCAAAGTCCTTTTTCTTATGTGGTAAGACGTTGCCACGTGGAGATCATCAGAGGCTGCTCTTCTGCTTACCGTGTCAGCACAGATGTTGAGCAGATCTCAGAAGTAAGCTGCTGATCTTTCCACTCCCACTACCCCTGTTCAAAACTTTCTACCTGCCATCTGCCTGCATTTCAGTTGATGCCAGATTCACCTTTCCTGTGGCCCAGGGCAAATACCGTGCAGTCACCACCAACTCCTCCCTTTCTCTCAGATTCCACATGCAACCTGTCACCAGTGTTCTCTGGTATCCTTTCAAAACATATCCAGCATCTGACTACCTCCTCTATCTCCATGGGCAGTACCCACACCACCATCTTCTCTCAGTGGGTTCCCTGGAACCACTGTCTGCAGACCCTCCCAGGTCCCACCCTACAGTCCACAGCCAGAGTGTCTTTTGAAAGTACAAATTATGTCATGTAACTCCTCTCATCCAACTCTTCCAATGTCTCTCCATCTTACTACAGTAGAAAGAGGCAAAGAAGAACAGTTTTCCAGGAAATGAAAGCCATTGGTATGGCTGAGCGACTGTGAGTGGGAATGAAATGAATAAGAGCCCATGAGTGAGGGCCGGGTACCCCGGATGGGCAACCCTGGCCTGATCCTAAGGACCAGTATTGAGCAGAGCCTTGGCATTACCAGGTCTGCACTTTGGGGACTTAGCTCCAAACACATCCTGAGATGAGACAGAGTGGGTGGGGCAAAGGAATAAGAAGGGGACACAGACTCCCAGCAGAAAGGGCAATGGCAGCAGAGAGAAGGGGAAGTGGGTAGCTGTGTGGCTCCTAAAGGAGGCAGAAATGGCAAACTCAGTGATGGCTCAAATGTGAAGTCAAGGGTGACACCCAGATTGGGACTTGAGTGGATGGGTATCTAAGGTGGTAGTGTTCTCATCAGCCAAGTGGGAAACTCTGCAGGAAGAGCAGCTGGTTCTGACCTGCTGATACCAAGGTGTGTGGGAGACATTCAAGACAGAATACTAGTAACTGATCTGCCATATGGAATTGGGTGAAAAGTTAAAGATATCAGCTGGAAATATAGTCTTGCAAATTTTCAGTTTGCAAATGGTTACTTAAATCATAGAAATAGTTATTTTTTTAATCACCCAGCATGAGCATACCAAAAGAAAAAAGAAGAGGGCTTAGGACTGAGCCATTTAAGGGAAAGAGACATCTACAAAGGAGACTGAGAAAGGAGAGTTGGAGAGATAAGGAGAACATCTGCTAGAACCAGGTCTCATAGACAAATGAAAAAGAAACCAGAATTTTAAAACTTCCAACAGATCAAGCAAAAAAAAGAACTGAAAATAGTCCATTGGATTTAGTGTTAATTAAGCTTTAGAGACCTTGAAAAAAATCATCCCAGTAGAGTTCAAGCCACCCTGCATTGATTGGTCTATGAAAGGAGAAAGGGAAGAAAGCAAGAGTAGAGAACTCTCACAAATCTAATGAGAACTCTCACTAGATGCAGAGATGGGGCCACTGAGGGAGTGTCAAGAGAGAAACCAAAAGTCAAAAAAGGATTTTTACTTTTTCACTCCATCTTCTTCCTTTCCTCCCTTTCTTTCTTTATGCCCTACTTGCTTCTAAGGTATCCAAGATATACATGGCTAAATTCTAATGGGAATAAGCCATCAAATAGAAAACCAAGAGATTATAATGCATGAGAAGGAAAGAGAAGACTCCAAACATGGGTAGGAAAAGTTCACCTTTGGGTCTCTACTCAAGTGGCACCTGTCAGATAACTATTGTTTGACACTGTAAAATAGTTCATCCATCTCTTTTCAAGGCACTAGAAATAAAATGGAACTTCCAGTCATTAGCGGGAGTGGAAGCCACTAACCAAAAGACCCTGAATTTTATGTATCCCATGGGAACTGATCTGCACAGGAACCAGGGAGAGGGTTCTGGGAAGATGACAGAGTAGGAAGCATCAGGAATCCATCTCCCTGTCCAAACAACAATTACACTTGCAGAATCTGTTCAGTGTCACTATTTTGGAGCTCTGGAGTCTACTGAACAATTGCAACATCCAGGGGAAGTCTTGGACTTAATAAAAGTCAATTTCAAATCTTAACTCATTCCTTACACCCCAGCCCATGGCCGACAACCATGCATATGTTCCTGGAGTGGCGTTCATGTATCTTATGGGAACCAGAACAGACAGACTCTGTTTTTCAAATACTGAATATTAGTGTTTGATTGCTGATTGCTTCTTCTGATCAGGGAGACACAGATACAGAGGCAGGAGATATTAGTACTGCTCCTCTCAGATTGAAAGGGTTTCAATGGGACTAAAAAGGGCTAGCATTTTTTTAAAAATCTATTTCATCTTTCTCTTTTCCCCCAGATGAGCAACAGAAATTAAAGACCAGGACATTCAAAATCAACTGCATTTATGGGGAATATTGGAAAGGCACCACACATGCCTAGGGAAAGATGCAGGCTTTGATAAAGGCCTTCAGTTTATATCTCAGGCTGACTCTCAGCACCAAGACAGCATACAACGATCCAAAACAAAACAACAAAGGCTGGAGAAGGGTGAGAATCTGATTCCCAAAGCTACCAAATTATTAGAGTCAAATGTTCAGTTCTCAACAATAACAAAATCATCAGGTATACAAACATAAAAATTACGGCTCATTCAAAAGAATGGTAGCCACAAGGAAAATAGCTATACAATATGCATAAAAGGAAATAAGAAGAGACTTAAAATGTTTGAATAAAAAAATAAACAACACATGAAAGAATACATAAGTGTTAGAAATGAGGAACAAAAGAGTCATAAGGCATATAGAAAACAAATAATGTAATAGAAGCAAGTTTTTCATTATCGTTAATTATTTTAAATGTAAATGGATTAAACTCTCCAATTAAAAGTCAGAGACTGAACTAATTTATTTTTTAAAGATGAGCCAACTCTATACTGTTTGTAAGATACTGTTTTAGATCTAAAGACATGCACAAGTTGAAAGTAAATGGAAAAAGATATCCCATGTGAACAGTGTCAACAAGAGAGAATAGGGTAAGCTATACTAGATTCAGAGGGGGAAAATTTTTTTTAAAAAATATCAAAGACAAAAAAAAATGTATTAAAATATTCAGCACAGCAGAGGGTATAACAATTCTGTTAATTTTTGTTTTATATATATTAATTATCTACTATTGTATGTGTAAATGTTTACAATTGAGAGAAATAGTACTACAACAGTTGAAGAAGTCAACACTCTATTCTTAAAATGAAATATTATACAGTAGAATTTAAACAACACAATAAGCCAACTAGATGTAACAGACCTATATAGAACACGCTACCCAACAACCATAGCATACACACTCACATAGGTGCACATGGAAAAATCTTTAGCATAGATCACATGTTAGGCCACAAATTA